CCCCAGGAACGCCGGCCGCGTGGAGTTTAGGAACGTGCTTTTGTTCTGAGGAGGGTCCTTCCATTTGTCAGCTTCTGAGACTGGACCATGGGGAAGAGCCCCAGCCTGGGTCTATAGGTTTATAGTGGGGGTGGGGCCGGAGCAGGCCTGTGTCCCATCCCTTCCACCCCAGACACCGCGTCGTCACTGATGCCAGGGGCTATGGGAGGTGGGCCCTGAATTCCACAGATGACAGCAGAGGCTCAGGTGGCCTGTGATCAAGGGGTCAGGGGGGGGCAGGCCCCAGGCTCCTGCCCCGGTGCAGCGTCTGTGCTTTCTCCCCAGGCTGCCAGAGGCGTGCAGCCCGAACGGCACCTGCCTCAATGGCAGCCCATGTGAAGGTGGGCCTCGGGGTGCCAACTGCAGCTGCCAGGAGGGCTCTTCTGGCCAGAGGTGGGTTTGGAGGCTGGGGCCTGGGAAGTGGCTGGTGAGTGCTGAGAGCTGAGCAGGGCAGGCCCCGTGGGGTACTCACCTTCTGAGTCCTCATGGTCATCACAGAGCCAGACAGTCCACCTCCGTCACTTTCTGGGGCTTCCAAGATCATCCTCTGCTCTGCAGCCAGCTCGGGGAAGTAGTTGTCTGCTGGTGTTTTTTGTAGCCCCTTACACAGGACCTGTGTCAGGGCCACCTGGGGGGGGGCTGTAAAGGTGCAGGCTCTGGGCCCGCTCCAGGCAGGGAGTCAGCACCCCTGGACCTTTACACAGGCTCTCCGGTGCTTCTGGTGGAGAGCCATTCTCAGTCACAAAGGGGCAGAGGTGGGTGCAGGAGATGGACATGCAGCCTCCGCACCGGGCAGGGCCCAGCCAGACAGGGACGTGCATCAGTGAGCCTCGATGCCTGCGAGGGGGTTTGAGGAGCTAAAGAAAGCAGCTGGGGGAATAAGAGGCAGTGCGGGAGGAAGCAGTTTCCTCCACCCCACTCTCTTCTCTGCCTCCCAGGTGTCAGATCTCCTGTGAAACGAACCCCTGCTTGAATGGGGGCACCTGCCAGGCAGCTGGTGAGGAGTATGAATGTATCTGCAGCACACGGTTCTCGGGCCAGTTCTGTGAAGTGGTGGTGAGTTGCCCTGTTTTGGACTTTATGAGATGATGCCAGGCGAGAGGGGGGAGCTGTTCTTGGACGTACCTGGTCGTGGGGTGGGCAGCAGCAGGGGAGACTCCGGTTCCTTCTATGCCCTCCCCGCAGGAGACATTTTCACTCTAGGGAGAGCCTTGGGGGCCCCCACCATTCCTCTGGGGACTGGCAGTGAAATAGTTGGGCTCTGCCAAGTCCCATCTGGGACAGGACTTGGGACCCACAGGATCTTAGAATTCTGGGATATAGGTTGGGGAACATGGAGCCTGTAATCTCCAGGGATTTCGGAGCCAGGAATCTAGAGAAGGAAGATTCGAGGAGCCCAGGATTCTTAGCCAGAGTGGGCTCATTCGCTGCGAAGGCAGCCCCTGACCCCAGGGAGACTCAGCTGAGGAGGGGCCCACAGGCAGCTTGAGCTTGAACTCCCCCTGGCTGGATCCCCACCAAGGGGCGTAGCTGGCCCTGCAGGTGGACAGCCTGCAGTGAGCCCACAGTGGGTGCTGGCCGGAGGGGAGGTGGGCAGGGAAGCCTGGGCTGGAGCCTTGATCTCCACAGGCTTCTGGCAGCCGGAGCCATAAACCTGAAAATTCCCTCTGCTTCTGGGGACTGTTTCCTTTCAAGTGGAGCTTTTACAGCCTCTGGCTCCACACCCATCTTCCCAGAGCCTGAGGGAGATAATGGCTTCACAGCAACCCCAGAAGTGCCTGGGGTGGAGGCTGGTAAGGGCCCACTTTTATCTACAGCCTTGGGACCCTTCTCCAGGGCTGTGTGCTAGGGCTTGGGACTCAGGTCACAGTGGGCTGAGAGGCCTCTCAGGCCAGGGGGAGACCTGTGGCTCTGGAATCCTACAGTTCTCTGATTCCGGGACTTCAGAATTCCAGCCTTGCAGAATCTTTGATGAGGGCCCCTGGGAGACTGGGGAGACAGAGAGGAGGCCCCCCCAAAGCCTGACCTAGCCTCTCTGGTGGTGGTGGTGGGGGGGGTGGGGGCAGGCCCTGCCAGATTCTGAGTTCACCATCAGCCAGTCAGCCTCTCCGGCTGTTGCCTGATCCCTCCCACTTTGGGGTTAAGCTTGGTCTCCATGGACACTTTCAAACACCACGCCACCCTTCAGGATGGGGAGGGATCAAGTCCCCGTTGCCTCAAGTTGAATGAGTTTATTGTGGGGAGGAGGCAGCCAAGTGGCGAGGCTGGGCACTGAGGCCCACCCTGGCCAGCGACAGAAGGGCCCTGACTGGGATTTGAGGCTGAAGGACGGTGGCGTGGTGTTGGCGGCAGATGGAGAAGTGCCAGTGCCGGCTTGCCACCCACTAGTCATGTGTCTGGGGAGGCTGGGCAAAGCCTGCTTTCTTACCTACTGCTTACCGAGGGCCTACCATGCAGGCACTGCTCTGGGCACTTCGGGGAGCACCGGGGAACAAAATAAACCAGGCTCCTGTGCTCCTGGAGCAGGGGGTGTTCTCTGTGCTGTTTCATCACGTGGGTGTGAGGCTCCTGTGAAATCCCACGCACTGCGCTTGGCTCAGACAGGGTGGTCAGTAAATGTCCTCTTTCCTCGCCAGAATCCCCTTGGAGTGGCTCTGACAGGTGGCTCCCTGGCACCTGCTTGCACCCGACCCCAGGGCCGGGTCTCTCACCACCTCCCAGGGAAGCCCGTTAGCTCTCACTTTCTCTGAGCAAGTCCTGTGCCCCCTTGGCTCTCTCCTCCCCTCCTCACGACCTGAGGCCTCCTTGTCGCATCTCTTGCAGAAGGGCCTGCCGCTGCCGCTGCCGTTCCCGCTGCTGGAGGTGGCAGTGCCCGCAGCCTGCGCCTGCCTCCTCCTCCTCCTCTTGGGCCTCCTCTCAGGGATCCTGGCAGCCAGAAAGCGCAGACAGTCAGCGGGCACCTACAGCCCGAGCCAGCAGGAGGTGGCCGGGGCCCGGCTGGAGATGGACAGTGTCCTCAAGGTGCCGCCCGAGGAGAGACTCATCTAGGCCTGCCTGGCCACCAGCTCCAGCACCCGTGAGGTCACGAACGATTTCTACCTGGATACAAGGGGGTCGCTTCCAGGAGCTTTTGGGAAAGTGGCTGCCCCTTCCAGGCCTTGGGAAGCTGCTGCAGGGCACAGGGTACCTGCTGGGGAAGTGTCCCCTTTGCTGGCAGCCCCTGCCTCCGTCCCATTGTGGACAGAGGAAAAGGGGAGCACTCAGGGCAGCAGAGGGGCCTGGAGAGGTGGTGGACATATCCATTGGACCCACCCGGTCTTGCCTTAGCAGGTGTGCGGCTGTGCAGGGCAGGGCACACGTGGGTGCACACAGTGTGTTCGGGAATGAGTGTGTGCGTGCGTGTACATGCGTGTGTACCTGGGGACTTGATCTGCAGGTACTGGTGTGAGTGTGCCGTACTGGGCTCGTGGGCACGTCCACCTCTTTGCTGTGCGCGCGTGACTGTGTAGTGGGTGCAGGCCATCCCACAGAGGGGACGGCTGGGCCGTGGGGACAACCTTCACGGCTTTGGGCAGGGGCAACCCAAAGCCGCACATTCTCCTGGAGGCCAGGCCAGAGCTTGCCAAAGGACCAAGGCCCCAGCTCCCAAATCTCCCACTGCTGGACGCTGCCCATCTTGGAGGCAGCTGGGAAGTCAGGGGAGGCCACAGCCAGAGGCCATGTGGGCTCCTGGCTCCCAGAACAAATGCTGCTTCAGGGAGACCTGTTTCTGCCTGTGCCAGAGTCAAGCCCACCCAGGACCCAGGAACAAAGCAGAGCCAGGGCAGAACGGAGGGCCAGAGGACAGGATGGGCTGCTGGGGGGCAGCGGTCTGGGCCGCACAGCCCCTCCTGGGGCCTGTCACCTGTAGGGGGGAGGCAGCCCCTGCCTCCCTTCCAGGGCTGTTGTGAGGATCAGTGGGGACGACAGTGGGGGAAGAACCTGAAGTCATTAAACTCTGGTCTGCTGTGAAGGGCTGTGTGGGTCATCATTTAGGTGTTGGGAGCTGAGGGAAAGAGTGGGGGAGGGGCCCCCCTGGGAGCCTGAAGGCTGGAGCCGCCCCTCCCCCGCCCCCCACTGGCTACCTCTCGGATCTCCAGCTCTTCAGGAGCCAGGCTCCCCTGAGGCCGCTGTGGAGCCCCTCCCTCACCTGCAGACCAGGATCCTGGGAGGAAACCCTCGGTTGTGTGCTGAGAACGCTGGCACCGCCCTCCCGGGGCTGTGTCAGGGCTGATCCTGCAGACAGACACACAGACACACGTGCAGGAACTGAGGTCTCAGATCCCAGAGGGGCATCCACCTGCGAGCCTGGCCGCCTCAGAGCTTCACAGAGCCTCTGTCCCTGATCTGGAGATGTGCCCTTTCGTCCTGTGTCCCAGGCCAGTGCCTCCTGTGCCCCTTTACACTTTTAGGTTGGAGGTTGGCTTTACCCAGCTCCAGGGAGGCACAGAAGCCAGAGGTGGAGCCAGGTGGTGATGGGGGTGGTA